TTCTTCTCCGTAGGTCTCGAGATGTAGCAGTTGACCAGATGCGGACACGGAGAGGCCTTACATACGTAGAGCACATTAAGGAAGACTCCATAGATCATGTACTGGACTATGATGAAGATCACTTCCATTACAGAGCGGATGAGGATACTTAGTACATATGTTTGTAGCAAAGCCCCCTTCAGTTGCACCTTCCCACCTCCACCTTCGTCCTCCTTCCCACAGTTCTTGTCTTCCTCTGGGTACTTCTCTCCATCTCTGTCTCTTTGTGCTCCTTCTTCTTCTTCCCGCTCTTTCCTCCTCTTCTCCTCTCTGCGGACACTGTGCATCGCGTGTGCCATGTAGATGAGAGAAGGTGTGGACACGAACACAATCTGGAGCACCCAGAAGCGGATATGCGCGATGGGAAAGGCTCGATCGTAACAAACGTTCTCACAACCGGGCTGCTCAGTGTCGCAGGTGAAGTCTTCCTGCTCGTCACCCCACGAGGACTCGGCGGCCGTGCCCAGGACCAGGATCCGGAAGATGAAAAGAATGGTGAGCCACACCTTTCCCACCGAGGTGGAATGTTCCTGGACTTCTTCTAGAAAGTTCCCAAGTAGACTCCAGTCAGCCATGATTAGTCAGAAGAGCCTGAGAAAAAAAAACGATAGTGTGAAAGAAGGGGAAACTTCTTGTTTACTAATTTACTTTAATGCTGTAACAGATAATGTCTTCTGTTTGTACATACTTGTGCTAAACCTTAGTACGAAAGGAGGCAAACGTATCGTTATTGAGGTGGCTAGAAGTAAACATGCCAACTTTAAAGGAATATTTCACATAAAAAGGAATTTTTCTCATGCCATTCCAAACCTGTGACTTTCTTTTTTTTTCTGTGGAATATAAAGATATTTTGAGAAATGTCCATAAAATAGAAGACAATGGTAACCAGAAGAGTTTTACCAACATTTTCAAATACCTTCTTTTGTTTTGCGTACTGCAGATGAAACATACAGACTTCGGACATCATGAAAGTGAATAACTGTGTTTTCATTTTAGTCATCTCCATGACCTGAAATTGAAAAATTGCCATAGAAGTAGTTTACGCTAATGCTAATATGCTAACACTTCACCAAAATTTGTGCTCTGGCGCTTTTTTTAAACGATGCGTGAAATCGAACATACACCGCTAGAAGGGTTTGCGTTCATGTACTTGCATTGGCCTTTTCTCATTTGCATAGGCCTGTATCCATGAATCCATGAGAAAGTCATGTGCTGAAGAACAGCTAAAAGGTGTAAATGGCTTAGCGGTGCTCTAAACCACTTTTTTCCAAATTTCCAAAATGAAATGAATAGTACTTTTGATAAAGTGTAATTCGAGTCATATGCGTTGATTACAAAAGCTACTTTATTCTACGTTAGGGTGGTCTCTCTTCATGGTGACTGTCATGTTGGGAGCACATGACCATTCAAATTCTACTCACTTTAACTAATTATCTGCTCTAACACAATTGCAAATGTGGTGTTTCAATAACTGCATATTGCATTGTTAACCAATTGTTTGTTTTTGTGTTAGATTGCATCCACACCAGTAGGTGTCAGTTTGAAGTCTTATTGACCAATGAAATTCCCCTAAAAGTTCATGCTAGTTCCGGCGGCTCCAGGCATGGGCAGGGGTGGGCTGAGCCCACCCAAAATGACTGTCTTGCCCACCCAATCAAAATTTAGATAAAGATTGCGTTAATTTTTTGTGCAGTGATTAAAACCAATCTGAAGCAGACTTCGGTATTTTGAGAAGTTTAAGATACAGCTGGATACTGCCCCAACAATCATAAAATAACACCAGAAAATTGCAGCATTTTTCTTTTATTAACTGAAAGAAAGGCGCGCTGAATTCGCGCGGAGGCTTCAGTCTGTTGCAGAAAAGCAGAGGCTGACAACGAGTGAAAACGGGCAGAAATATTTGCGCACTATCACGGGGAGTTTGCGAGTTAACGAGAATTTTAATACACGAGTATGTATCATAGCCTACCACTGAAATTACCTGAGCAGTTTTAATGTTCTAAAAAAACCTGCTCATTTAACGTGCATTCATTGCATGGACGGGTAGCAACTCATAATGTAAAAACTGCACATAATGTAAAAATTGCACATAATGTAATAAGTATTACATTATTATTGTAATAAAATGTTCATAATGTAATAATTTTCTCAAAACGTAAGAAAATCTTGAGCTCATAATGTAATAATATAATTTTTTAAATGTAATAACAATTTTTCACATAATGTAATAGGTTATTGTTTGAGAAATGTATTACATTATGAACACACTGGCAACTTATAATGTAATACCTGCACATAATTTAAAACAATTATTATTATGTTTATAATAATAATAATCTTCCAATATAATACATTTGAGCACAAAACAATCATAGTTTTATTAAAAGAAAATTAGGCTTATTAGGCTACATTGTGAACATTTATTTATTTATTTTTAATAAAAATCTTACTAATTTTGTGATTATGACATGCTTAATTTTTGAGATATAGGCCTGGGCTCGTATTCACAAAACATCTTAAGGCTAAAAGTAGCTCATAACTCGCTGATTTAGGAGAAAATCTAGGACTCCTAAATTTTTTATCTAAAAGTATTTCACAAAGCGTTTTAGCACTAAAACTAGCTCCTAAATCTGTGAAATGTTAGGAGTAGTGAAGAGGACTCCTAAGTCACTAAGACCAAGCCACAAACTATCCTAAAATGGCTGTTGCCAGCAATCTGCCTCAGAATATAAACATTTTAGAAACGTTTGACGATAATGAGCTTTTATAAAAGTATCACCTTTGGTTTTGGAGGTTATCCCAACTCCAAATTTTCCTTTGATTATATCCTTGATTTCATTAACCAGTTGGGCAATAAGTAACAGCTGTTCTTGCATCCAGTTTGGTTTTCTTTTACGTTTGCATGTCTTACTATCAGCCATGATTATTCTACTCTGTTAATTAAAAGGCTGTTGATATGCATATTCACTAATTGTTTTTGAGAATCATACATGTAAAGAGGCTGACAATTAGCTGAACATATATACTTGTTTAATTAGTGACACTTAGCCTGCATTTTAAAATCTTTATTTGAATGTGGCAATTAGCAGTTTTATTTTTAAACCTTTATTTGAATATGGCAACATACGGTACTATTGCGCTCTTCAATATTTCTATGTATAAATCTCTGACAGAGGCTATCAGCCCAATCACTGTGTGCATAGTTAGTAAGCATGCTGACATCATCCATAGCCACGAGGTCAACCCCGCCCCCATACTCTTAGCTTAAAGGTCCCATGACATGCTGCTTTTTGGATGCTTTTATATAGGCCTAAGTGGTCCCTAGTACTGTATCTGAAGTCTCTTTCCCGAAATTCAGCCTTGGTGCAGAATTTCAGCCACTACGAGCCAGTCCCACAATGAGCTTTCCTTATGACGTGCCATTTCTGTGTCTGTAGCTTTAAATGCTAATGAGGAGGAGAGAGGCGGGGCAAGGTGGAGGGTGGGTGGGTGTGTGGCCTTAACCAGCTTGCGGCCACGGTACCATACGCTAATGTTGACAGTGGATGTATCCCAATGGCTTCTCTCTATTCCTTAGTAAAAGTTTGTCTCAGCAGCTTTGTGAATAGGTTTTAAGAGAAAACTCTTAGCTAAAAACTTTTACTGCTATTTAGGAGAACTCTTAGAATAATCTTAAAATGTTTTGTGAACACGGGCCCTGGTTTCACAGACAGGGCTTAGACTAAGCCAGGATTAGGCCATAGTTCAATTAGGACATTTAAGTAATTTTCATAAACGTGCCTTAGAAAAACATTACTGGTGTGCATTTTGAGACCAAATAAAGGCACTGATATATTTTAAGATCAGTCAGAGCAAGTTTCTTTCAGTTGAACCAGCTCAGACTTAAGCTTAAGCCTTGTCTGTGAAAGCTTGGGGATAGTCATTTAAATGGTTGTTATAAAAACTTGTTTATATTCTACACAAATGTATAGGCCTAATGTATTTATAATTTTGGTGAAATGATTAGATGGTTTTATCTTCCTGAGGTACGTCACGTAACTAACATATTCTTCACAGACTGTTATACTGATGATTTCTCTGGTTAAAACCGCTTGTAGGCACAGAAATGATGTGTGATTGTAAGTTGTAGTTTATTTTTCAACATATCCTCTGATATATAACTTGTATTAAAGTGAAGAATTGTTCATTTAACTTGTGCTGCCATTGCCTGAGGCAGACAACACGATCTATCCCAGACTTTGGAAACTTTTTTTTTTTTTTTCAAATTTGTTCATAAAAAATGCCTTCAATTCAAGGACATAAAATGTAGTAGGGGCGCAACTGAATTGTTCCTAGCAATAATTTTGATCAATTAAAATATATTTATATGTAACCACTGTCGTTGTCATCATACCACGGACATTACCTGAGATGTTAAAGTCCACATGAAATCAAAATTGACAGTATTTATTTTGTCAGCGCACATTGCTAGTCTTAAGGTCAACAATTAATCTGTGCAAGTTAATCCTCTGGAAAAAAAAAAAAAAAGTTAGTTTTGGTAATCTTTAATCAAAATCTGATCATTTGCTTCCGCTCTGGAATGGCATGCCTTCTTCTTAACCACTCCCCTCCGACCATTAGTCTGCTGTGAGTGAGCGATGAGAGGAGGAGCGCAAAAATAAAACCCCGTCCTCTACTCAATTTTCTGTTTCAGTTAGAAATACGCCACCACACTGAAATCCAGTCGGCAGCAACTTCCGGTTCACGCGGAATTTAAAGTAAATATGTCAGCAAACTGCGCTCTTTCAAGGATGTGCATTTAATGCATGGCCAAAGTAAGAACATAATCTAAGCGTTTAAAACATGCAAAGTAGTATTGCCAACTGTTCCTGTATTTAAGCAACATTCCATATTAAATCCATACAGAGAGCAGTTTATCATGTCATGCCCAGTTTAGGGAGCTAATCACTCTCACAGACACACAAAAAAAAATCCCCAAGAGCACCATTAGTTGAAACTCTAATAATAACACATTTGGAAAACTCTTCTGTGCATATTTACATTTGCGCTCTGGAGAGCATCAGATGTTTCTATTTACAATTTTTGCAGCGTTGAGCAGTGTAGCTAATCACAGACACGTCCATTGAACCTATGAACTGAGATAAGTGACTGGCTCAGTGCATTTGAAATTATAAAGGGAGCACTCCTTGCACACATTCTTGACTATATGTAATGCATTCAGAACTTTAATTAAAGATTTTTTTTCATGATGCTAAGAGGAACAATGTCCCCTCACTAAAGTTGATGAATGAATCTCAGACGTGAACATATTTGATTTGCTTAATCCAAAAATAAATTAATTTGTACATGAAAAGATTAAGCAAAGCAAATAATAAGTTAATGTCTGAGATTCATTTTGGCATTTATATATATTTCTGTTTTACGTTTTCACCATATTAGGAATACAACTAAAATTGAATGGGTGCATATTTTAAAATAAAAATATTATTTGCAGTTCAGATTGATTATTTTACAAAACATCTTATTCCTGTTCTTTGACTGTTTTTTTTTCTCTTAATTTATTCCACTTAATCCATTTAAACCCTTTATTT